AAAGGGTGAATCCACCCAAACCACCACAGTATGAAAATTCCATTACAGACATTAATACTGCAGCTTCAAGTAGAGTCTTTAGCTACATTATTTGAAAAATTCTATCACAAGATTAGAAGAGAACCAAAAATTCAGAGTGAAGGATTACAAGCCAACAACTTTGCAGTCAGGACTGACTAGTTCTGCTATAGATACCAGCATTATAGACCCTCTAAACTTATGTACAAGGAAAACAACGGTTAATGTAATACCATTGTACTGACTTCTCAACTCTTTAACCTTTTCTAATATCACAAGAGTTTAATAATTTGGATGGACAGAAAGAAACAAACTCTAATCTTAACTCAGAGCAAGGGGCAGTCAGATCTCAGCAATGGTCATGCCACCAGTTCAGATAATAAGCTGAAAAAGGTTGTCTATAGCTAACTGATATCCATCTATGAAAATCTGTTGAGATGTCAGCCAAAAGGCCAATTGTTTATACACTGCAGTACATTTTATAGACTAAGACATCTGGAGGCAAGCTGCTGTCCTCTATAAGATACAGAGACTTTCAAAATTGTATCTATAGTTGTTTTAAACAGTAAGTACCTTTGATATTATAGACAAAGCTGCATAGACTATGTTTGTAGGTATAGTTCCAGGAAGTAAGGGTTGGACATAACTGAATTACTTAGAGAGAAAAAAGCATTCAATAGAAAGAGGTTAGGTTAGTTTATGCGCTAGTGTCTCATGCCGAACAAATTTTGTCTTTGAATGTACCAAGCAGTCAAGACAACTGCTACCAGAAATAGACTTAGCACTATTAAGAACAGTATATCTGTCATGGTTTAACCTCAGTTGGCAACTAAGCACCACGCAGTTGCTTGCTCACTCACCTCACAGTGGAATGGGGGAGAGAAACAGAAGAATAAAAGAAAGAAAACTCATGGGTTGAGATAAAAAAAGTTTAATAAGTAAAGCAAAAGTAATGCGCTCAAGCAAAGAAAACCAAGGAATTCATTCGCTACTTCTCTCAGCCATCTCCAGGAAGGCAGGGCTCCATCACACATAATGGTTACTCAGGAAGACAAATGTGCCCAATGTGGGGCTTGAAGGTTTTAAGATAACGACAGATTTGGTTGGAATGTTATAGATTGAATATATAGCTATTATTGCTGTTTAGCTATTAATTAGCAGCCTCCTGTGCTTGCCAGGGGGCTTTCTTGCCTTACTGTGTATTAACATCTAGTGCTTGTTAGTGGTTGCTTTTTGCTTTTGCCTCTTGCTGCATCTTGCTTATCAGCTTACTCTGCTGTGCCTGGGAACATTTTGATAACAGCACAGGAGATGCACCTGGGCTGGCAGATGGCCAGGGCACCACTGCTGTTTCTGTGCTGCTGGACTGGAACTCCACTGTAACCTCAAGTCAGAGGGACTATGACCTCTGGATGAGTCCATGCAGGATTGAGATGCCCCAAAGTGTCTGTGGCTGTGGTTATGTCTGTGCTGCAACAGGGATACCTCTGCAGGATAAGTCCATAGAGGAGAAGGTAGACCTTGAAGCATCTGTGTATGTGGATAAGCCCACACTGCAGCAGGTGCACCTTGAAGCATCAGTGGCTGTGCATGTTGAAGCACCTCAAAGTGTATGGCCATGGATAGGCCCAAAACAGAGCAGGTACATCCCTGGATGGACTGCAGCTACGCATAAGGCCATGCTCAAGCAAGTATATCTCCGAAGGCATTGCAGCCCATGGAAAAGGCCACACTGAACAGGTGCACCTCAAAGTGACTGTGGCTGTGGATAAGTATATGCCACAGCATGTATAAGCCTGGAGAGACTGTGCCTCATAGATAAGACTGCACTGGAAGCAGGTACACCCCTAAGGGACTGCAGTCTGTGGATAAGCCCAAGCTGGAGCAGGGGCAAGGGGAAGAGTTCATTGCAAAGTTAAACCCTATGTCTGGTCAATTATTCCAACTCTGAAAACCCTGGACATCACACACTAATGGTCAAGCTTCTTTATGGAATTAGGTATCTTCCACAAATATGTGAAAGAATATGTACATGGATATGTGCTAGAACACATGAGCATAACCTAAGTTATGCAACGATACAGATGCTGCAAGTCAAATTTGGAAACAGATTCTGTAAAAGAGCAAAAAAGCTGGTAAAAGAATGTATAGAAAAATACAAAAGGGCTTCCACACACAATCACCTATTATGTATATTAATCTAACTACTCAAAAAGTATAGTATGCTTGTAAATATTAAACACTAAATTTTATATTCTAAGTAATGATGTGGTTGCCTGTCCTTTCAAGAAATGGTAAATATAGAAATTTGGGGTGTAAGCACATTTGTCCTTCAATGCTGTGCAAAGCCTTCTGAGAATACTGGCTTGTGCATCTGCAGACTGCCACACTAAGATGCTGGAAAGGCGTTTACTAGCAGTTGCAGAGAGTCTGCCCTTAAATCCCTGTTAAACCTAGAAAACACATGCTGATTAGACGCACAAGGTGACGCTTTCACAGCTTGTCCTTCTTCTGTCAGCTAGAATAAAGTGAGTTACTTATTTCACAGCTTTTTTGAATCATATATACTTTTTCCTAGCCATCTACTTAATTTGCTAAAATACTTGGATTTCTTCATTAAAAAATTCCACAGGTCCTGGAAAGAGCATTCTGTGGCTTCACCCTGTCAGGCTCCAGTGACATAAAAAACATTGCTCTATAAAAATATGCATTATTATTGTCAACTAAATTCTGGTTTGGCATGTATGCTGATCCTAGTTACTTTTAACAGCAAAACCTCCAAAGAGAAAAGGATTGATGAAACAAAATATTAAGGTCAGAGAGAGTTTAAATACACCAGAATAGAAGAGAGGCTTAAAATATGGCATTTATAAAAGAGATACTGTAGTTTAGCAGCATGAAGTATTTCTTACTGAATAATTCAAGAGATTCTGGTTCAGAACCCTAACCTAAGTGCTAATTAGCCACAGCAACATACTTACTTTCAACAAAAATATGAAACAAGATCTAATTAATGACCATTTCCAGTGGCAAAAGATGAAATTCTCTAATTTATCTTTGAAAAAAAAAAAAAATTAGAAGAGAAACAAAATGAAAGGGAAGCTTTAAAAGAAAAAAGCATTTCAAAGTCTAGGTTCCTGTGGGCATTTCAGTGCCTAGGGCATACTGCTCTGGTTAGCCCTTGGAACTCGTCTTTGCAAGAGTGAGACGATTATTTCTTTTTTGGAGAAATCTCTTCTATGCCAGTAAACAAAGGAGAAAGGTGGTACATTTGCTAAACTGAGGTATGCATACTCTTGGACTGAGAAAGAAGCACACCAGAACCCATATATTATGTTTTTAACTAAAAAAGGGACAAATTGAGCTCATATAATTCTTTGAAATTGAGTTGAGAAACTCCTTCAGCAGCTGATTACACAGTACTCTGCTCTAACATGTTTTTCACCATTTAGTACACCACATTATCTCACAACTGGAACATAAGGGTATAAAAGAGCTATTTATAGAACTTTAAAAAATTTGATAACACAGAGTAGGTCATTAAATCACAGATAAATGGAGAAAGGTTTCTGAATGGTAGTGTGCTCTGTAAAACTGCTTCCACTGATAGCAGCTATATTATCTACAATACTAATTTTATTCAAAATTACAAATCCAACAGTAATACAACAAATAAATCCTACCTAATAAGCCATAAGATTTCAATTGAATGTTTCCATTAAACATACATATATAATCCACCTTAAAATTAAATGGCCCCTAACTTTCGCATTTTATTGTTCGAAATATTGCAGTCACAGCAGCAGAGCATTTTCATAATAATGCTAAAACTGTTGTATTAACTTGTGTTCTGTGCATGGTTTAAGTGATTAGCAGTACTGATCAAGGATGCAGAAGGACAGATGTTTAATTGGCAGTAAGAATACAAGAGTGAACTCTCAGTTGTCAAGTTTCAGGCAGAAGTTCAAGAGAAATACATGCCCATAGCTAAAGCTGAATCTCATTACTGAATTTTAAATGCCTATTTAAGACCTCCTTGATTAGTGAAGTATTGGATCTTATTCTTGCCTCAGAACCTTAGTTTACTTCTGATTTAGGTACACAGGAATGCAAAGATGAATCTTGGTAAGAAGCTAGTCTCTATTAAAAATCTGCAAGTCATGAGGATGATTTACATTTGAGTGAGTCAAGGCAATGTGTGTGGACTCAGCTGAATCTAAACATGTGAGCTCCTCCCTGCAACATTTCTCAGCAACACCACAACAACATAATCATGCCAAAGTAGTCTGCTTGCAAGTGTGCTTTACCTTTAAAGAAACATTTGCCTTATAATTCCCAGCAACCCATTAAAGTTTTTAAAAAATTTAATTTCAGTAATATAAATGTTACTGTAATCTTCTTCCTGTATTTGCTGCTTCACACTCATATTAACACATTCTTCCTACCTTCCTTAGCATCTGTTTAAGTATTTGCATATTTTGTCATACAATATAATAAAAATAAAGTATCTACATCCCTATTATTATCAGTTTCCAGTATCTTTATTTGCAGTATCTGGGACATAAATCTGGTGAAACCAGAATCCAGTGAAATTCTGTGAATCCTTATTTAGAAAGCTACCAGCTCTTAAGAACACAATGTTCTGCTGGTTGTCTCTTTCTCTGCATAGAGCTCAGCAGTCTTACATTCAGTCATCTTCACGTCTATAAAGTGTGGTTCCATCTCTCAAAAAAAGGCTGCTATGGCTGTACACCATTTTGACATTGACATAGTAACTAAACAATGTATAATGCAATGGGGCCACTGGGACACAGTTTTCTTCTAACTATCTGAAAAATACTAACATAAAAGTCTCTGGAAAAGTTTAAGTAGTTTTGGAATACAGTACTGACTTGGAAAGCAGCTGAAAACTAAGTAATTTCTCATTCATTCTTTCTTCTGCTGCTTATTGAGCATCTTCTCTTATTTTCTTTTTAACTTACCAGGCATGATAATATTGGAAAAACCTAGTTTCCTTGTTATGGATACTCCATGGGTAAACATCGATGTATACTCTCTCCTAATTTGTTCTATGTCTCCATGAAGCAATTGAAGAGAAACTGCCAGACCTGAAAAAGAAGATAAAACAAGGAAAAATAAGACATTCAGATTATGGCCATCACTTCTTAAAAACTGTATATACTTGGAGGTGTGTATGCATTCCTGAGAACTCAGAAAATTCAGAGGGAGTTCAGTAATACCAAGCCAAGTCACTTCAAATTTTTCATGTATTTGGGAAGAGTATCAACATCCATAAATCAATAAATACTTGAAAACAACTACCCATGAAAAAGCCTTAGCAAATTATTACTGATGTGTAACTGAACTATGATGACACAATGGATCAAAATTATCTCCATAGGGATGGACTGAGGCCTTAACTGGAAAAAGAATTAGAGGAATGTCAATCTAGAGAAGTGTCAATCAGTAATTTTTGCTATCATCTCAATTTTTTACTTCCTTCAACACAATGCTGCCTTCATTGGTATGCAAGAAAAGGTGCAAACACAACGTTCCCTATCTATGGGAGACATATGGAAGTCTTGTTACAACGCATCACTTAACCTGAAACAATGTTATACAAGTTATTAATCTGAAGAAACTCTAATAAACCAATATAGCATAATCAATTTGTCTTACTTAGACACAACAATTTTATAATGGCTGAAATTACTTTTTTTTTTCAGTAATCATTGGATTTAATAAATCACGCTCTTTCCTATGTTTGTTAGAAGACATGCAAAATGCAAGGGTGTCCATATAATAATTTTCCAGTATTTATTCCTCTAGAACCAAGGAATAACTTCATCTACTACATCTACAGTATACAAATAAGTCACAAACAGTATACTTCATTACTGGGGGTTGAACTACATAATCTTTAAAGGTCCTTTCCAGCTCAAACCATTCTATGATTCGATGATTACAGCTGAGATGAACAAAAATAACAGGCATGCCTTTCAGTTATCTCAAATATAATCACCAAGGCAAGTGTCAGGGTGATATAGCTTGTAAAAATTAATCTTCCCTGACCTTCAACATTACTACAGCATACCACGTGTCAACATACAGATCAAGGAGAAGCTAAGAGCAAACTCTGCATGTGCACTGAACAACTGGAGATAAACAGACAACTCAGAAGAGTCATAATTAACTTTAGATTAAGCTTAAGTAAATAACATGTACACACAGACTAAAAAACAAGGTCATCAGTCCTTTGGGCTTTGGAAGAAATTACCCCTGCAACCATGTTACTATTTAACCGAATAAATTTACTTGAAGTTTGATGGTTCTTAAATCAGAGCTTGGAAACTGTCCTAAGTACTGCCAGACCAGGCTATTGCACTAAAGAGATCAGAGATCTAATTAGCATGACAAATTTTATCTTCTTCCTCTAAACTACACTTACATTTTATTATTTGGGCAACTCCAGAGGAAGTGATACTCTGACCAGACTTCCATTCTCTTGTGAAAAACAGCTCACCTACACATCTCCAACTGAGTACATAAATAAATATTAAAAGAAAAAATATTCAGTGAAGTCTATTTTAAGGACTGTATTTAATGCTATGGATATTTAATTATTTTGGTAATGGGAATTTGTTCTGTGGTTACCCAATTAACTTTTAGGAAGTATTTTAGGAATTATTATTGGTGTAGATGAGAAAACAAACACCACTGTGGCCAGCTGATGGTACAGGAGGTTGGTAAGAAGTCATATACGCAAAATTCAGACTGTTAGAACAGGTGCAAAGTTTTCCGTTGCTGGCTGGGAAGAGCTAGGCTGGGTATAGCTCACTTAGAAATATAGGTATTTAGCCCACCTCCAGTCTTGTTTCTTTTATATTTTAAGAAATTGTTATACATACATATGGATATTCATGCCCCTATTGCACTGTTTCCTTGGAAACCTAAAAAAACATTCGCCATTGCTCCAGATCACATCATCCACAAGAGCATTCATCAGATATTGTACATCGCCTGGTGTTGAGTAAATTTATTGTGTTTTCTAAACAATAAGTTGAAGACCTCAAATCCAATTAGTGCTATAGTTTTTTCTTTGCATACAGATTTCCTTGAAGGATCTTATTTAACTAAAAACTGAGATAAGAGTCAAAAAACCTCATCAATGGCAAAATAGTTTTAACTTGAGAAATAAGCTGCCTGTCAAGGATTTGACATACTTGCTCATGGAAGGCAAGAAAGGTATCAGAGCTCTGAATTTCACGGCATTCATTCTTAGAAAATGAAAAGTCACCTTTTTATAACCAAAAGCATCAAGAAATTCTCTCAGTGAACACACTTAAAACATGGTTTAGTCACTTCACCTATAGTTTAAACACCTATTTGGAATATAAATGGTTTGCATCCCTAACTCTTCAGAATAATAAAGAACACTGGACTAAAGACAGCAAAGTTACTTTAAAATGTTATACATTAGGAAAGAGGGAAACTGAACAAGGATGGAAACACAGGAAAGATGCACAGGGAAGTCTAAAGAATCTCCAAAAAACAAGGTTTCAAGTTAATAATCTTGTCACTGAGGATCCATTTGCCAATTGAAAAGGGAATTGACAAGAAGCAGATGATCTGATAAATATGGTAAAAATGTTTAAGTTAGGAGCATAAGGACTTCATATAATCAATGAAAAGGCAGCAATCCCCACTTAAGTGCTCCAATTGCTCTCTCAAAGCTTCACTAATTTTGCAAGGAAATGAGGCTCCTCTGCATTAAGGACCTAAAATCAGAAGATGCATACTGTCACTGAGGTGTGACATGCAAGTTGCAGAATAGGTGGCTTGAATTCCCACTGATTTGTTACATTCAGGATCTGGTGACGGGCAAAAGGAACACACTGTATATGAAAAGCCAAGAACTTTTTTTCAGTCCTAATGAACTAACTGTTTAATCAGAGTTATTATTAGTCCATTTACACAGACACTAACACACTCCAAACAAAATACTGTTAAAATGGCATCAATACACACAATCTTTCCAGTATCTACCCCTTGCTTAGCCTTCCACTGCCCCTCAGGGATCTTCAGGGCAATGGTTTAAGCCTGGGAAGGTGCTGTATGGTGACCAAGTTATCACTATCCCAAGTCCTTCGCCATGAGGAGGAACAACAAGGATGTTGCGCCTCTCTCCCTCTAGGTTCCTCTCAGAGTAATTTTTATATTTGTTAATGTGCTTTACACCTTGTTATTTCTTCACTGATCTGCAAGTCCGCATTACATTTTCATTCATCGTATATGATGTGTTTTATACATGCCACGTATCTGTTCTTTGGTCTAAAGACCAAAAACTGGTTTTATTCTACTCTCAAGGTCACACTATTTGTTGACTAGTAATTGGCCACTTTCATAGGTCTGGGGCCTCTAGTATCATTCCATGCCAGTACTTTTGAGGCCTCACTAATGGTCACATGTCTTTTCTACATTCCATTTTAGTCTAGGGCTATAGAAAGCTAACTCTACACAGAGTAACTACATGTTATAAGTACCTATTAAATACAAAACATATATACTAAAGTGGGTTAGGTTATACCACACAATTGTACAAAGCTAAGCAAGAGCTACAATAAAGTAGATATAATTGATTATTTTGTCATTAGATAAATGCTTTTATAAGTCAGAATGAATCTCCAAGCAGGCTAAGACAAGTCCAGCCAAAGCCAGGTAGGTAATGAGGACTGTGTTGTCAGCTAAACACAAAGCCTGCAGCCAGTTACAAGCCACAGCAATCCCATATTTATGAGTCTATAAAAATACGATGCACTAGCCAGAGAAACTAGACACTTATAATGACTGAGGAACCATGCATTTGAAATAAAAGTCATGGGGAAGAGAAAACTTAAAAAGATGGAATAATTCACATTTTACAAGGGACTAAAGTTTGTATCTTTATTATAAATCAAGTTACCTGACTATAAATTTGAGTTAAACAACATAATTTAAAACATACTGACACATCACAGGACCATTCAGATTTTCAGAAGGTTGTACATTCAATTGAAGTGAAGAGCGACTCCCTCAAGTACACTGCAAAACAAAGTGGAATGAAGAGGAACCAACTAGTTGAAAGACAGCACCTTCCCACCAAAAAGTAAACAGAATTTCACATACCATAATGGCCAGTAAGCCACTGAACTCAATTTACAAGTGATTAAAGCTATATCTATGGAGAAGAAAGGAAGAGGTGGATAGGAAATGCTACTGCTCCTAGAAAGGAAGGTTTAATCACCAGATAGTGAAGAGACAGGGTCAAGGTGGAGCAGGCTTCCAAAGAATTTGGCCAGCAGCCAATCTGGGAAATATGGAGAAGACACTCAAGGAAAAGGAACGCAATCAAAAGAATACCCAAATATTATTTTTTTATATGCAGGCAGAAAGTTAATTCATTAATATTTATCCTATGGAAACACAAATACCTTTTCTGTCATATAACAAAGGTAATATCCTTTAGTTTTATTTAATTTATTCCACTCTGATGATGTATGTCAACATCCATTCTTTCTCATCTCATTTTATGCACTAGAAAATATAACTATCAGCTTTAGAAAAAATTGGGAGCA